TACATATACATACATATATACATATATACATATATACATATATACATATATATATATATATATATATATACATATATATATATATATATATATATATATATATATATATATATATATATATATAAATATATATATATTCTTTCAAAATACGAAAAATTGGGAACACGATAACGTAACGCATTGAATTAATTCAACGTTTCACAAATTTAGTTGTGCTATGAAAATTTGGTGTGAAAACTTTTCAAAACATTCTATTAGAGTTTGACTTTTCTTAAACACTGCTCGTAACTGTCTGCACTATAGATTTATTAGATCCAGCAGATAAAACACTACATGTGATTTGATTTGAATGACCGGACTTACGTAAGTTTCGATGACAGTTCATGAGCGCCTTGAAGATAGTATAAAATATACTATTTCAGTTCGCGACACTGTTGTTGAAAATTGTGAGCGTTATAAAATACAACACTGAACGTACTAAATACGCTGTAACACACTGAAAGATATGTTAAAACTAACAACATACGTACTGTTCGAATTTTGAAAAGTTTCGGATTATAACAAAAAACTGGCGTTTTCTTTGCAGATAAAACTCAAAAAGAACTTCCCGCGCCTTGTTTCAGTGACCGCGGGTCACGAAGATTTCACGCGCGTGTTTACGAGGAATGTCTGATTTAAATAAATATGTTATAAACAGTGCTATAACTGTAGGGAGCCACCTTAAGTGGTAAAGTGATTTCATAAATTCACATCTAAAAATTTTACAAAATTAACTTTAACGTTATTATTTAGTTTAATATTAAAATCAGCATCACATCATATTTTGTGATTTTTAAAAATTCTGTGTTTATTGATAACTTTTTTGCATTAATTAAGCCATTTTATTACTTAGTTCATTTTCTTGCATATAATACTCTGGTATACGATAATGATTCAAGCAAATGATTTCAAGATATCAGTCAGTATTATAATTGTCCAATAACTGAGCCTTGGAGAATTCCTGTGGAAATCGTCATTTTGAATCGTCGTTTTCAAATCTTTAGTCACCATCAGGATTTATAATATACTTATTTTATATATATATATATATATATATATATATATATATATATATATATATATATATATATATATATATATATATATATATATATATATATATATATATATATATGTAGTTATATATAAAGATATACAACATTACACCGAAATATTGCAATTAAAGCCATGATCATCATCATACAACACGCGACAATAATATAACTTCTCTTATAGCTGGGCTTTTCTGATCTTGTAAATATCCCGCTGAAACCACACTAAACCCTTTGTTTCCCAGTGCTTGTAGTATTGTTGTCTTCGGTTCATTGCCGACAAAATCCCCTCGGCGGTTTGTGATTTTGACTTCCAGATTCACTGTACCTTCCGTCGTTGTTGTACTCTCGACGGTTATAAAGGGCGAAAACATGGATTTCTTAAAACACTCTTCCATCGTAGCTTTATTACCAAATACTTCAACAAACCGGGGACGACAGACTAGTTCAACGTGTTCGTAGCATCTACTTCCTTGGTTTAACCGCGGTGTCTCTGTGCTAGAAACTTTATTTAAATGAGCTACCATGTCTTTCAACTGATAAAAATCCACTTCTTGTTTTAACTGCTCAACTTCGGCGAATCCCTTCGGTAAATGAAGCTGTCCAGATCTCAAGAAATTCAAAACATAGCGGAATAGTTTGCCATCTCTATCGATAAAATAGTTGCCATTTGTGTCTGTCTCAAGGGGCATACGGCCGCTAAACATTGCAGCAAGCATCGATTTTGAATATCTTGTGAGGGTCGCCAATGAAGCGGTGTAGATTGTCCCTCCCACATTTAAAGAAATCACTGGTGGGAAAGCTGTATTGGCTCCTGACTTTTTCAAAACATTCATCTTGTCTTTAATTGAGAGAGATTTATTTCACGTTTTGCTCAGAATCTCTTTCAGCTGCTGTATACACTGCTTGTTGTCATGCAATATTTAACTAGATATGCAAATGTATACTGCTCTTTAAATTATTCATGTTATTTTGGACGTGAAACTAATTATACCGCAAATGCCGCAAATTATGACGTTTCAAGTGCGATTCGACAACGCGACGCAATTTTTCGATTTTCACTGACCGATAACTTTGATCCTAGTTAACATTTTCCAAATATTTAGAAGCGCTATAACATTTTGAGTTATTTGGTCTACATATCTTTCAAAATTTCCTCTCATTGGCTATTTTATTAACTTTCAAAAACTAAAAAATCGCGTCGCGATGTCGAATCGCGTCCGGTGTGTCTGGACCTTAAGGATAAAGGATTTATAGGATTAAGGTCCTGACACACCGGACGCGATTCGACAACTGGACGCGATTTTTCGATTTTCGACGTACCGATAACTTTGATTCTAGTTTAAATTTTCCAAATATTTAGAAGCGGTATAACATTTTGATTTATTTGGTCTACATATCTTTCAAAATTTGCTTTCATTGGCTGTTTTATTAACTTTCAAAAACTATGAGTAAAAATCGCGTCGCGTTGTCGAATCGCGTCCGGTGTGCCTGGACCTAAAGTCAGACGGTTTGGTGTTTTGATTGCAGCAAAATGGAACGTACCTTTCTCAGGAGGAAGAGTCCCAAAATAATCCACGTAGAAATTGAAGTTATGAACATACGTGCTTCGAATTCAAACACAGCTATACGATATGTTATATAATGTATAGTTAAACATGCAAAGATGCTCTGCAAAGAGCAAACCTTAGCTTATAAATGCATTTTTTATTGTATCTCGCTTTACACTTTTAAAAGGCAATAGATGCTAATATCAATATTAGTCCAAAGAAGTTACTTGTTCTGCAAGTATGTATTGTGCATTATAGAAGCAGTTTTTCGGCGAGAATTAGACTTGCCAACTATATAGCTACACATGCAAACAGAAAATTTACTTCGAGCAAAGCCTCTATAACTATAAATGATATGTTTCAAGACTCAATGATTGCAAAAGATTTGTCTGAAGACATTTTTTTAGATACAATTCAAGATTGATAACACTTCTTGAACTTGATAAACATCTGATCCTTCAAATTTAGATAATCTGTGGCTAGCCGCTAGTTTATAAGACAGACAAATTATCCACTCGAAATTGTATAATTATTTACTTCTAGTAACTCCAAGTCCTATATGTATAGCTGATTTCCTTGTTATTCCAAGTCGTTAGAGGAAAGGATTTAGGATAATTTTCCGGCTCTTTTTCAAACACGAACGGCCTCCAAATCCAAATACTCCAGTCTGTTTCCATTTCCACAACGATTCAATGTTGGTGACTGTTCGTACATGTTTAATTAAATATGCAAGATAAAGAAATAATTATAATAAAACCGCTCTTATGCATATTCGCATGCATTTATGTATCAAGCAATTTAATTTGTATTAATGTGCGAATACAATCTAGATTACAGAAAAGTATACACACATTAAGTTTATTTTCTTTCATACGGTCACAAGGGTAAAATCCTTTGTGCGAATATAATCTAGAATACAGAAAAGTACATATAAGTTTATTTTTTTTCAGACGGTCACAAGCATAAATCCTGTGAAAAATGCATTTTTCGTTCAAAAACATCAAAATCGATTAAAATGTTGTTGAAACTGCCATGTATAGTATCCCGGAGATCCCACGAATAGACCACGTCAGTCCGTCAAACTGTTCTCTGTCTTTATAAGAGTCAAATGCTGATTGGTTAATCGCTTGGAAATCGAATTCTCGTTTGGATCCACAGACATTACTTTCCGAGCATAGAATAAGAGTCGGCATGGGAAATAGCGTCTGGAAGCGCACATTTTGCATAAAAAATACATGTTAATTTTTCTTAAACCTACACATAAATAAATCTATATATAAAATTAAAGTGACAAGTAATTATAGCAAATATCATTGTCCTGTTAGATTAAAGGATCGCAAATCTATAGCCATGCACTTCAATGTTCGTTCAACGGTTGGCAACCATGCACCATGATTTTTAAACACCCTTTTGAATATATGGACAAGCTTGTTCTTATTACGATTGCTATATATACAAAAAATACCAAATTTCATATAGCAATCGTAATAACGAAAAGTCCATGCATGTATGTCCATGAAAAGGGTGTTTAAAAATTATGGTGGTTGCCAACCTTTGAACGAACATGAAGTGCCTAGGATTGGATATTTGCTGGTAACAAGAAAAATGGTGTGAAAGTTCAAGGTGGTTTGCGATCCTTTTATCTAGTAGGACAATGATTTTTGCTAGTTACCTGTCACTTTATAATTAATTAGTTCATTGATCAATGACTTTAGCTGCAAAACTTGGGATCTTCTCATTCATTTATCTGAAGAGTTTTGTCAAGTTGAGAGCAACTCAGGTAAGGGCCATATAGCTACTGTTTCAGTATCTCATTTGACTTCAATCATGCATTCATTTAAATGTTTTGCTTATTATTTCAATTAAATTCATAAACCATATTAATTGATGTGGTTCATTGCTTTGTCGCAACGGCTTATTTGTAATATCTACCGAAAACATCGAAAGTTTCGAAGCTTTGAACATATCACCCGACCGCATTTACTTAACTTGAGATAATTTCTTTTTAGAGAAATCAAAATGAGACTGTTCATCATTTTTTTGTCGTTATCGTGTTCCCAGCTTATCTTTCATGAAGGTTTGCATACTGACATTAGCTATACTCTTAAGCAATATTGGTACACATATTATGTACACAACTTTTTATTAGCTTATAGGAGTTATAGCAGTATTAGACAGACGAGAACACAAAAAAATATGATTGAAGAATTGGATAAGTCAATCACACGACAAATTAGATATACAGGAAACAGAGACGGAACTCAAGGCCTCCCCCCCCCCCAGCAAAAAAGACCCTAAACTTTTTGCTAGGACATTGGGAAAATTGGCCCAAGTCTCAGTTATAAAGGGTCAGAAATTTGCAACGGGCGGCCCCACTGCAAAGCTGGAATTGGTGAAATTGTGAAATTTGGACCCCTTTTTTAGTAGACATGGAAGGGGAATAATTTTTGTGTTTCTTTTTTACTTGTTATAGTCCGGATAATTTTTTGAACCACTTTTTTTAATGAATATGTTTAGAAATTTTTTTCTTTACTTCCCCTCCCCCCCCCCACATTTAAAATTTTGATGGGGGGCCTCAGGAGGTTCCGTTACGCCACTGACATGCAGGAAACTAATCAACTATAGATATATGCTGCAAGTGATTTTGTTGGAAAGGAATTTCACACAAAGTGTCTTGTAGGTTCATAGTCTGTCGATGAACGTCAAAAATTAAATAGCCAAACAAATAAATAAAATAATATTAATATTAATGTTGTAGAGGAGGACAATTATACTTGATATTAGATATTATATTACAGGGGAATCTGAAGGACGTACAAAGGTTAATTCGGCGTTGATCGTACTGAAACCTGTCGTCTAAGAGCAAACTAGGTTACTATATATATATATATATATATATATATATATATATATATATATATATATATATATATATATATATATATATATATATATATATATATATATGCATATATATATAAGGCTGTTGCATGCATGCAGTCAAAAACGTAATAAAAATTTTGAATTTCTTGCTGAATTAACGATCAATCACTTAACTAAAAGTTAAATTTGTCTGAAATGGCACTTTTTCAAATTTTTATATAAACATATTATTTAATTGGTATTTAATAATAACTGTAACGGATAAAATTACATACGAATTCGATTCTATAAATAATAATAAATTATTTTTTCTTTCCAAATTTCTTCAACGCATTGTAGGTGAAGTTTCTGCTTATCAAAGGAACGCAAAGGATCGTTGGATTGTCAAGACGTTTGGGGGCAATGAATCTGTCCACCAGTCTGGAAACATGGTACGGCTATACCATGGTGCGCTGACCTATGTTGAAATTATGCACACTGTATTGTACCGCATAGCTACCAAAAATAAAAATTCAGTACGGCAAAAAAATGTTTATCGAAAACTGACGACATATTTGCCTTTTTTAAAAAAAAGTGGCATTACAGAATTTTTTATATTTTGCTTATTGTTAATAGTCCACGCTGTAAGTAACATTGTCCAGGAAAACAATTGGGGGTTACCATGTTTCTTTTCCAACTGCACAAAGCAATAAGCTATTTTAGAGTGAATTTCGTACTCGTGTGTTGCATAGAAACGAACTATATATGTCACAAAGTGACATAAATTGAAAGACGAAACATCAAGATAGATGAACATCCAGATAACTGTTGCATAAAGACTAAAACATTAATACTGCATGTCAAAGTATTATACACCTGAAGTTTCGAAAACTGTATCGAGCCACCATAATTGGATTTCTTATTTTATAGTCGTTGTTCGTGCGAAGATCAGACTTTGGCGAATATTTAGATCATGTCGAAAATGTAAATTCAACAAATCCAAGAAAGATTAAAACAAAGGTAGGCTAAAGGCATTTTTCATTACAGTCAGTGAAATTTTTGAAGACTATCTTGGACGACTGGTGATCACTTTTGAAGAATTATCTTAATGTTTTAACCGAATCGCAAATGTGTTCACAGACGTTTTTAAATATTCATATAATTGATCCGTTGTTGACAATGGAAGCTCGAAAATGCAAGCACGTTCCGGAAGCCATACTGATAGAATTACAGTTTATAAAAGCAATTAGGCAGCTGGCAGCTAAAATTTATAACAATTCTTTGCGTTGGCTAAATTTCAAGAAATGAAATTTCGTCATTAAACAATAAATTTAATCCAATACTATCAATTTTTTTATTTAAAAATATCTTTTAGAAAATGCCTGATGGATATCTGAGTTATGATGAAAAAGGAGATATTGACATTTTAAAAAAAGAGGGAGAGCCAGGATGGATGGAAAAGTTGATACAAGAGGTTAGAAATTATGTCTTGTAGTTTATTCTGAAATTTCTTAATTCATACCATGCACAGAGAGATAGAACACTGAAGCTTTCAGCATCAATTTCAGCATCGTTTGCACAGAGTACAAGACCTTGTGTTCTTACCCAATCATTAATTCAAAGCATTTATAGAGCTGTCGAATTACTACAATACGTTATAGCTAATTTGAATTTGAAAGGGTTCACTTTTTTTTAGATACACTGTAGAGCGTTTGCACTCATTCCTCAGGGACCAACTCAACAAAAGCCATGGCGGCTATGTTGGTGTTCCAAACAAAAGAGTCTAATTAAAATTATTTTGAATTCATGTGCAAACGCTCTATAGTTGGGATTGTAATATTTACTCATTTATTGGATATGTTAATTAAGTATTAAGAACTAAATGGCAATATGCTATAATAATATGTCTGCCAACAAAGTGAAACACCAAGAAGGTTGTTTTCTATTTTTCTTTCATTTCTCCCAGTTAACCATGTCCTATTTCCCCTAACTCGTGTGTACTCGTCTGTCATTCGGGTGTCGTTTTGGCCAATAGATCAAGTATTAATCACTATTTATTTAAAAGATATACCAAAGTTTTATTAGCTTATCAAAAACAACTTTAATTAATTTGATTCAACTATTAGTGAACAAGCAGGGCCACTTTAAAGGATGTGTAACTCGGGGGGGGGGGGGCATATTTCGCGGGGGACCTGGAGAAACCAGCATATATATATGCATGGTTTAACTATAAGTACTATACGTCATAGGGCAGCAGATCTAGCCCGTAACTGGGATTCTGAGACAACCGACCGAAGGTGCGAGCCGTCTGCAGGGGGTTTGTGGACTACATCACCCCCCAGAAAATTTTGGATTTCTTGAAGCTCAGATAGGCTATTTCCAGAATTTTGAGGAGTGTTCCAACAAGAAATTAACCTTATAAACAGTGACACTGCAGTTTTAATTACTGCAATTTTACAGTCTCCCAAATGTGATCCAGTCCCAATAAGGCAACATGATGTGATGATGCAGTAATGAAAATGTGCGTCGTATAATATTATCATTCACCATACTTCAAATTCTACAGTACTGTATTACATGAATTGGGGTACTTGATACCGACGCATTCGTCTTCTCAGTGTCACTGAAGAGCAAGATAGGGTGGTCTCTTTGGAGTATCTTTGCTTGGAAAAATTGAACTAGAATTTCGTCCTAAAATGCCATTTCATGCCATGGGTTAGGTTTCTGGCGATGTTTAAATTTCAGTCTCCAGATTCCTACGAATCAACTGACTCGGTTCATTCATAGATGATGGTCAAATTCAGAAATGTCATTTTTAGATATATAATTGCTGGTTGATCACCTACTTCTTAGGGACCTTGCACTGGGGGGAGGATTGCCGACTGGAGGGGCCATAAGAGAGCTGGGGGGACATGCCCCCACCCCCAGCCTATATGTTAAAAGAGGTCCTGTGAACGTGTCTTATAATTGCTATACCACAACGTACAGGCTACATAAAAACTTTAGATTCATGGCACAGCACACTGCTATTGTAATGAAACAGCTGACAATAATTCAAAAATACTTCCGCCACAATATTCTATTATCTTAGAAAAACAGTAACACCATAGTAGCCAGTTTGGTGGAAAACGCGGACTGCCGACCCCGACATACGGACAAACGGGCATGCGGACACGTAATTAACTAAAGTTCAAAAAAATTATTACGAAAATAATCAATACTTATTGAATTTGTTTTTCGTATGATATCGAAAATTATCAAGGCCGAGGTTGTGTTAAAAATCTCTTAATGCTTTCTAAGTCCAAAACGACTTTATTCATGACATTTCCAAACTACCTTGGGATTCTATAAATCAATTTGCCAGTCCAAACACATCCTGGCAGGTGTGGGAATCGTTCTTTCTTGAAGCTCTTGATAGACATGCACCTCTACAGCAGAAAAGGTTGAGGCAGACCGCCATACCATGGATTGCCCCCAAGTTAAACAGCGTATGAGAAAGAGGGATTTCCATCGGCAAAAAACAAACAATACAACACGATTCTCAGTCGCAGTGGTTGTTATATAAATCTGAGCGCAATAACGTGAACATTGAGATCCGTAGGGCAAAGTCAAAATATTTTTGTGAGAAAATTGAGAATTGTACACTTTCTAAAAATTATTTAAAAAAGCTCGTCCTTGATAAATGTCATTTCGGGACGAAAACGTAAATCGCCGAGTGTTAAGAGTGATTGTCAGCAAAAATCGAACATTGGGCGGCAAGGGTTGATCAATCGATTCCGCTCATATTTTAACTATATATAGGCCCTAATGTAACAAACACCACTGTGTAGTTTGTTTGGTGAAATTCGGCTTAGTATTCGGGAAAATCGAAAAAATACTTTCCGAATTAATTCGCTATTTTTGAGCCTATAATTTAGGTTAACTTCAACAGCTTCTCGGGACAAAACAAAATAATCCAGCGCTGTAGTATTCTCACACGAAGTTAATTGCTATCTTAATATACAACAGGTAGAGTTTCAGACATTATCGTTCGGGTTTTTTATTTTTATTGCAGTTCTTTTTGGAATACATAGGAAGCCTCCCTCAAAATAGGTTCAAAGTAAACTAATTTTTTTCCATGTGCGACGAAATTTTTTTATTATAAAACAACCCACAATCGCCTTTAAATGGTGTATTTTGTGAATCGTTTAAAATTTTCTTGGGGAAATTATTCTGCGTGATGCAACGCATCCCCAAAGTTGTAAGAAATTTACAAATTTTGCATGTCGGCAAGATCAATCAATTTATATATTGTGTACATATGTACTATGTAGCGTTTATAAAAGCGGCTCAGTGTTTGTATTTTAAATTAAGAACAAAGTGAATGTTCTTCATCGTAAAAGGAACTGACTAATCACAAATTATATTAAATTCCCTTTTTAAAATCCATCGATTGACCCATATACTATATAGTCTTCACTAGTAAGTGCATAATATTGGTGTCTATTTCTGTCCAAAACTCGCATTTCGTACGAGTTAATTCGACAAAACAAATATCATAATTCACTGAAATTTTCGAAATTTCCTGTCCTTTTCTGTCGCCCGTCTTTTGGGCTTAACGTTTGCAACACGGCCATGCATGGGTACCTAAAAACAGCAATATTGCCATCAGCGTCGTGAATTTCAAAGCAGTTACTTATTACCTTATTACTGTATTAAATATACATGTACAGTAGATGAAATTGGCAACTATCCGTCTGTGTTTAATATTACGTAAACCTGTAACGTACGGCC